GGCTTCAAGGAATGTTGGCCCTTCCTGCTAGGTCTTTAGTTATTTAATTTTGGGCTGGGGTAGAGGACTCCTGATTCTTTCTCTTATGTTTTAATCTTTTTAGGTGACCCATTCTTACTATAATTTGATCATATGCCTAGCTTGCTGTTCAGATAAACAATGGTGAGGTGAGACAAATGGGAAGCTTTGACTTCCTCCTGACATGGCGGGGGGGGGGAGAATTTGATTTCCTTCTCACAATCCCTAACCTTGCAACACCCCAAGCAGGAAGGTAAAAACTGAGCAAACCAGCAACCAAATATTCCTATTACCACCAAGCCCATAATTCCCAGAAATATTGTCTTCAGCCAGGCAAAGTTTGGTAACTAGGAGGTAAGCCATGAGAAATCAAAGAAGCCCTGACTGTAGCCAATGTTGTGAACCAAAGTTTTGAAATCCTGTATATTTCCCTCTCTCAATTTGGAATTATCAACCAAATTAAAACAGCACATGCCTTCAGGAGGGAGAAGGAAAATGGCTCAGGCGGTTGAATACAGGGCAGTCCACCCCTGTGGAGTCCTTGGGGTCCTCTGAGCTTGGTTGTTTTCTTGAAAACGGTTCATACTAGCACTGAAGATGTAACCTAGCCGGGTAACGAAACGTTTCCAAGAAGACGACCAAGCTCAGAGGACCCCAAGACCTCCACAGTTCAACCCTGAGCCACACATATTCACTTCTATTGGTCAGTCCACCCCTGCGAGCTCTCTCTTGTAATCAGCTTGCTCAGCCCTCCGCAGGATGCCTTGAGTTTCAGTTGAGGGGTTTTACCTGCGCATCATATGTACCGTAGACACATGGCCTATCAAGAATAAAAGCAAATTTAGAGGTTTTCAGCCAACGCAACACCCCAACTCAAGAGCTTGGAAGACTCCTCCTGAGGTGACTGCAATCCTCCTTCTGAGTTCCTATTGAAGTCTACTGAACAAAAAGACCATTGTTAGCCAGTCTTGTCAGGGAGTCTTCTTCTATTTGGAGATGTGAAGCATTTTTTTCCTGCAGGGCAGAATACTTTGCCTCCTCTCAAACGCCCGGTGCCTCCCTTCACCCACACTTTTGCTCCTGTGGTCTCAAACTGTCTTTCCCCCTTTCCTTTCCTCTGGGCAGGGGTTTCCCCTTGTCACAGGAGGGAAGGGGTTTTTGTGCAGGATCAGTTGCGCCACTCTCTCTCCTGCTGGGAGGCTCACTTCAGGTCTCTCTGGGCCTAGGTGGAGAAGCATTCCTTGGTGCCCAGGGTCTATTGCATCCTCCCCCTGTACAGCTATGCCCAGTAGTGCCAAGTCTGTTTTTTTTAATTGACATTGATGTCACTCGGCACTCTCTTGTCTGCCCCTACAGCTTCTTCAGTTGTGACCACAAGCAGGAAAGCATCAGGTTCTACTTTCCACATATAGACCGTGCAAACCTTCTCTCCTAGGGAGAGGTTTTGATATTGGGCATAGACTAGGTGGGGGTCAACACATTGTTAATTGAGCTTCAGGATGACTTGATGCAATGCTGGTCTCCTTCCCTTCAACGATTTGTGGTCAGAGAGGAGGTGTATTTGCTGCTTTGGGAGGCCTTCCCTGTGAAAACCCAGTGCCAGTATCCCAAGAGATCTCCAAAAGATTGGCTTTGCCTCACATTCCAGAGAGTGGCCGAGTCCCAGATCCAGAGTCCCAGATCCAGTTAATCACCTTCCTAGAGATCCTTGAGCCTTGTTAGGATTAGTTACCTGATTATGTAGTGTAAGATGAAGCTGCTAGGCTGATTCTTACTCCCACAGGGAAGACAAATCTTGAGAGGTTAGCATAATTGTAGAAATGCATGCCCAGATTGCAGGCCCTCCTGCTGTGAAAGGGTGTGGGTGAATGCAAGCAGCTCTGAGGCAAAACTTGGACTGCTCATCAAATTTCTACTTAGATGAAAACATTATTATATACGTCAACTGCCAAGGACTTTAATACCTTCTCGTTCCTAATAATTTTCTAGAATGAGAACTTGAAATGTTGGACCCAAAATGGGGTTCTTGCCCTGAGACGACTGCCAATAACTTCGCTGGACACGAGAAACCCTTTAGAGCAAAGTTCCTTTATTGGTGGGCAGCACTAAAGGGGATACCTCTATGAAAAGAGGCTCCCTGAACACAAAGAGATCAGGGCTTTTATACATTTTGCTTCAAGCAGATAGAACATTTAAAGATTAATGATTGGTCAAGAAGTCTTTCATCACCTTATCTGGGATTTCCCTTCGATCTCTCTCATCCTATGGACCCATCCCCATATCTTCTGTTTTCTCAGGAGATGTCAACTACAGGTGAATGCATTTAATAGGTTACTAAGGTTAGATATAGGCTAAACTAGAAGGGTCAGCTATGGGTGAATACATCCTTGCCCTGATAAGGGCCACTAAGGTCAACTGTATGTTCATTTGAGAAAGGTTAACTACAGGTTAAAGCTACAGGTGAATGGGTGAATACATCCTTGTTGTCCCGCAAGAATCTCATGCACGGTACTTTTCTATTCCATGCCCCTCAAAAAGTATAATGTCTGGATTGCTTCCAGAGCCAAAAGTTGTTAAAAAGATTTTTGTTTTGTTTTCAGCTAGACCATACCAGTCCATGGA